AAACATTGACCGGGTTGACCCGGCGTTCACCGGGCTGACCCTCCCGGGTCCGGGTTGACCCGTGACCCGGTCGCTTGCTCGGGTCGCCTTCCGGTCCGATTTTGACAACGCAGGCCACAAGTTGATATTCCTTTGGACTGTAGGGAATTTCATGTTATTATGGAAGTTATGCTTACTTTACTGTAACACCCCGCCCTGTAGGGCCCGATGTAGTTACTTATGAATGTCATCCAGATCTCTAGTATTGTCCTTACAAATCATCACTAGCCTTAAACACACACTATGTCGCTCCCTTAAAAGGAAATGCACTTTGTCCTGTCGCATGGTTGCTCTGATACCACCTGTAACACCCCACCCTATACGGCCCAAGGTAGTTATTCATGAATGTCATCTAAACCTCAAGTTCTGCCCTCACAAACCTCTAGTTGCATATGAATGTCATCCAGACCTCTAATGTTGTCCTTACAAAAAACCACTAGCATTAGACGCGCACTATGTCGCTCCCTTAAAAGGAATGCACTTTGTCTTGTTGCATGGTTGCTTTAATACCACCTGTAACACTCCACCATGTACGGCCCGAGAGGTAGTTACTCGTGAATGTCATCTAAACCTCTAGTACTGTCCTCACAAACCACCAGTAGCCTTAAACGCGCAATTTGTTCTCACTCGTGCGCGCCCTAAAAAACTTCTCAGTGGATCACCCATCCCAAAACTACTACCGTGCAAGCACGCTTAACTTGGAGTTCTTAGCTGATGAACTTCCTCAAAACGAGATGCACTTTGTTGGTCTAAGTAGTACTATTAATCCTTTTAAATTAATCTCAAATATTACATAGAGGGCCAACAGTAACAGCTCCATTAGCTAGGGATCAATTGGACACAGAAGTACGAGCAAGACTCGAGGCTAGGGATTATACACAGGCAGTTTCTTGTACTCTTCCGGACGTGGAATATTACTGCGGATCTCAACTAGAAGTCTGGGATTGTTGGATGGATTTTCAGGATATCCTAAACGTCTTTTTAGAAAGAAATGAAAACAAATATTTTTTAGGGATAATAAAACTTGTAGTATATACTATATATAAAGAAAAATATGTAAATGAAGAGTTACTCGAAAATTGCAAACAATTGAGGGCGCCTTATATATCGCTTGAATAACTTCTTTCCGGTCAACATTTCATAGAACATACATCCAACCGACCACATGTCACAGACACAAGAGTAATTGAGAAGACGATGTATATTTGGATGCAACCGAAATTTGTAAAAAAAAATGGCTCTTTTCATTGGAAAATATAGATTGAGACAAGTTTTTTTTTTTTTTTTTATCCCGGAAGGCAAACCACCAAAATCAGTGGGGTAAATGCCGGGGGACATTTACTAGACAAGTTTACATAATTAGTTAAAATCGACTAAATAAGTGACTTTCTGTTAGTTATAATTACCCATGCATATGTCAGTGCGAGCACACACATATATATAGTAAAATTGAAACAAAATTGTTTTATCCCGTGCACAGCACGGGTAAAGATACTAGTATAATAACAAACCATAAAAAAATATAAAAATAAATAAATAAAATATACAGGCCTCAACCACCACATCATCCTCCTTACAGTACCACCACCTCCGATTGCCGAAAAGAATGTCAAGTTGAAAAAAAATGTTACCACGACGGCAATTTGGAAAAGAACGGTGTCATTTCGATAGAAACTTGGCATTTTTTACACAAGATACGGTGTCAATGGCCTACATACTTTTAATATTTTTTCAGTATTTTTTTGTGATCTTTCACATAACACTAATAATGCACATGTAAGATTTAATTTTTTTTTGAAGACCGTGATGAAAGAGCTACTTTGCAACCGTACAAGCTAACACCTCAGTATATTCACGTAACATGATTTTTCAAATTAAACCCGTAATTTCTTTTTTATTATACATCAAATTTTAGTCAAAAATATTTACAAAAATCTAAAGATTCAATTGCTAGAGTTTTTTAAATTCAATTTTTTCGTAAGCACATCCGAGTGTTAAACTCCTCATTGAACTCATTTAAAAAGTTAAACATTGCATTGTAAAAAATTTGGAGTTTAATGTTTTTGTTGCTTTCAAGCCTTATCTTGAAAAAGTATTTAAAAAATGTATAAAGTAAGGGTAATTTGAGTTTGCACCCCATATTATAGTCTAAATTGGACTTTGCACTCCATTTTTAAAAATCTTTGTTTTTGCACCCCAACCCCATATGAAAACACAAAAATGCTCTCAATCAGGATTCAGAAATATGTTGAAGGCAACAAAATTGTTAATGGAGCGGCATTTTTGTCTTTTCAAATTGGGGTGCAAAAACAAAGATTTTTAAAAACGAGGTGCAAAGTTCAATTTGGACTATATGGGATGCAAACTCAAATTACACTATAAAGTAATCATGATATCTTAACTTTAACATTTGGATCTGCTTACCAAAAATTAGTTTAAAACACTAGCGATTTCATCTTCAGATTTTTTCAAAATGTTTTTGGCTAAAAGTTGATGTAGAATAAAAAAAAATGTAAGGATTTAATTAAAAAATTATTTTGGTTGATTATATTGACTATGCTAGATTGAAAACGTTTAGAATTGAGTTCATTGATGGTGCATTGTTGCAAGTAACATTTTCATTTCAATATTGAAACTACATATATCAAATATGGCTAAAGGGTCAAATAGGCCCTTGAACTGACTTAAAGTGTTCAATTAGCCCCTTATATAGGAGGTTCTGCCCGGCGGTCGCCAATTGGGGCGATTCCCGGTGGAATTTTTTGATGAAATTTTTTGAGCATCTTCTTCTTTAAGTGTAGTTTACCCATACCAAATTTCAGCTAAAAATACAACCGGGAAGACAGTCAAATGATTTTCCGAAATGTACTACGCTGTTTAACTGCGCAGTTATCTTCAAAAAATCATTTGACTACCTTCTCGTTTGAATTTTTAGCTGAAATTTGGTATGGATAAATTAGACTTAATGAAGAAGATGCTCAAAAAAATCATCAAAAAATTCCACCGGGAACCGTCCCAATTGGCGACCGCCGGGCAAAACTTCCTATATAAGGGGCTAATTGAATACTTTAAGTCAGATCAAGGGCCTATTTGACCCTTTAGCCTATCAAATATTGATATCATATGAAAGATTTTTGTTTTTATAAAATTTGATATATTATTTGTAAAAGTTAAAACAAAAATTTGAAAGTTATAGTGCAATAAAGAAAAAAGGAGATTTTTTATTTTACATTGGCTCACTAGTTTCCTATGATGCTCCTTTCCCGATTTCCCCTGCTTGCTTGACATTAGCTCGGGGCATGGGTTTCGGAATTTTGAGAAAGTCGTCAATTGGTTTGGCAATTTATATAACTATGGTTTATTTGAATACTCTTTTGGTAAATACTTAGATTCTAATCACGTAAATAAGTTTTTATTTAGCATTAATTTTGGGAAAAAACTCCAAATACACAGGCTAGTCATCTATCACAAGGAAAAAGTACATTAACTGGTCATATAACAAAACGGACAAATGCATTCATAATTTACAAAGTGGCCAGAACAAAGGTGTTCAATTTAACTATTTAAGGGTGGACATATCAGTTTTTTCAGTTGGAAATGAATTGGAAGAATGATTACTACAAAAAATCGTACTCCGTGCTATCTTTCAATTGGGTTGAATTTGATTCAATCCGGATCTGTTATTTTCTTTAAAATAGGAAGATTTTATGTTATTTTCTTTAAAATCGGAAGATTTTATGTTATATTCTTTAAAATAGGAAGATTTTATTGAATATCTTGATTTCAATTCAATTTTACTCGATTCAATTCGATTAATACGATTTGAAAGAAATGCTACCAAATTCGAACCAAATTGCATATGATTCGATTTCAATTTGGGATAACTCAATTTGATACCATTCAATTTGGTTGAACCAAACTAGGGCTGGACTCGGGCCCGGTTCGGGCCTGGGCCCGGCCGGGCCTCGGGCCAGAAAAGGGAGGCCCGAGCCCGAACCGCCGGTGGCCGGTCCCGGTCCCGGTTCCGGGCCAAACCGGGCCGGGCCGGGCCGGGCCGAACCGGCCCAATTATTTTTTTTTTTTTTTTGTTCTCCTATTTAATCCACTACCCCTCCCCCTCAACCCCAAACCATCCCAAACCACCTTAAATGGCCCAAAATACCTAATCCAACCTAAAACTTAAAAAAATTTCAAAAAAAAAAAATAAAATAAAATCCAACCCGGACCGGGCCCGAACCGGCCGGGCCGGTTCACCAAAACCTGGGCCCGAGCCCGAACCGCCCAGCAGCCGGGCCGGGCCGAACCGAACCGGTGGACCCACCGGGCCCCGGGCCGGGCCGGGCCAAACAGTAACCGGGCCGGGCCGCCCGGCCCGAGTCCAGCACTAAACCAAACCAATGTTCTCACCCCTAATTGAAATATTGAATCAATGCATTGTTAGTTGGGTGGGCAGACTGCAGACAGGCCTTGTTCCACAAAGCATTTGCTTGAGGAGAATGCCTACACACAAAATGCGAATAGGCGAATACTATTGTGCAAAAAACATCCACATTATGCAATAATAATGAACAAAATGTTTAGTGGTTTGGGATGTCAATTCAATTAACCTGCCCCCGTACTACTTTATGATCATTTTCCTAAACCTTGCAATACATGTCTTGCATGGCCTGGGCCCTGGGGTCAACTTTTGGATGGCCTGTTTCTATCTTGCTTATAAAAAACAGAGTTGTGGCCTCAGGTTTTAAAGAAAATGATTCACAAACAGCTTGTTGTAATTAATCCCAAAGTTTGGTTACTTGGGAAAGTGCAAATGATTAGTGAGCGACTGGGCACCCACTTCCAACATTTGCAGAATGGGAGAACAAGGTAGATGTTTACAAAACATCAAAAAGAGGAATGACCTATACATGAAGACGGATATGATAGTGTTTCAAAAGGCTTAATTTTATTCTGGCGCACAAAAAATATTTTGGACTGCCTGTTTGTGCCCATGGTTTCTCATAAACATGCATAATTACACATCCACAATTTAGAGTCAAAGCCGATTGACAGACCAATGTATTAAGACAATAAATTAAAGGCTGTTCTATTTAGAAGTTGATACACATAGTACACTTAGTTAAGTATCAATTTACATGCAATGTTGAAGATTCATAACAAAAATTATCTTGCTTAAAAGCTAAAGAAAGCTATGTTTCCTTAACATTTAGCATCTCTTCCAAAGCATGCCCAAAAACTACGAAATCAAAGAGTTGAGAAAAAGGGTGATCAGAGTTCTTACTAGTCTAATTGTCTCACATTTCTTATACTTCCAAAAATCAGAGTATATTCCAAGTAGGAAAATCAGTTGTCAGAAGGATGACCCCAAAAATAATCATGTCCTAGAGCCTCACGTGCTGTGATTCTATCAGTTGGAGAGAAGGATAGCATTCTCTGATTAAACAAGCACAAGCAAAAATATTAAAACCTGTTTCAAGTAGCATAAAACATACATAGTATTCCCTGTGCCCCAATATTAATTCTTGGTTTGACTTTGCACGTAGATCAAGAAAGAGAATTATGTGATTGAAATGATATGAAGCATAAATTCTTTCCCATCAAAGGAAAATGATGTTTATTTGTGACGGATAAAAAAAGGAAAGAATGAAGACAATATTAGGATGAAAAGAGTATATTTTTGTTTAAGTGTGGTTTGCTTACCGTCAAAAGATCGAGAGCCAGACGCTCGATAGGAGGGCCGTCCATTTCAACGACTCTCTGCATAATATACAAAACAATTACATTAATTAAGAATAGTTATCAATTTATCATATAATGGAGGCATTCTCTGAGAGAAAAAGTAAATTAAAAATAAACTGAAAATTTATTACCTGGGGATCATACACAGGCAGTTTCTTGTACTCTTCCGGACGTGGAATATTACTGCGGATCTCAACTAGAAGTCTGGGATTGTCGGATGGATTTTCAGGATATCCTAAACGTCTTTTTAGAAAGAAATGAAAACAAATATTTTTTAGGGATAATAAAACTTGTAGTATATACTATATATAAAGAAAAATATGTAAATGAAGAGTTACTCGAAAATTGCAAACAATTGAGGGCGCCTTATATATCGCTTGAATAACTTCTTTCCGGTCAACATTTCATAGAACATACATCCAACCGACCACATGTCACATACACATGAGTAATTGTTAGCCATATACGTTGCTTCCGGTGCATTGTAAATCGCAGTTCCCGCCTACAAAGGAAATAAAAAACATGTTTTATGGAATAACTATTATGACTTAAACAACTACCTCCGCCCACTTTTAATCAATTGAAAAGTTGTGGTAGGAATATGAAACTTCAAAATTACTTATTTAACCCTAACTGGAAGATCTGATTCTTGTGGAAACAGGCTTGTCCTGGAAATACACTTGCCCGCTCTTAAGAATGGCGTTTATTATAAAGTGTGATTCAAATGAGAAAATGAGGGAAATCATTCTCTAGTTTGGATGATTATTCTAATTGGTGATGAAAAATGAGTGGCAATGAGATATGGGGATAAATACCATTGATGGGTGTTAGTACAAACCAAAAACGCTTCTTAATAAGAAAATTGCGCCTAACGAACCAATAGAACAGCATTAAATAATAATTACATGTAGAGTATATTGCCTACGAGGAACAGCCATTGATACGGACACCCCAAAGTCTGCAAGTTTGGCATTCCCTTTTGAATCCACTAGCACATTCTCTGGTTTGATGTCCCGGTGGACGATACCAAGGGAATGGCAATACTCCAAAGCCGAGATAACTTGAAATAAAATTTTCTGTCAAAAAAAAACAATGAAAAGTCATATAAATGCATGTCAAAGTATTCTGAACAACCATATCAATAATAGCATAGTATCAAAATAATTTGAACAAAGAAACTTTCTAAAAGTGAAGTGTGTCTATACATTTAATTTTAACAAACTGATTCGTGTCAAACTATCTTTCTTTGATTTTTATTTTAAATACTCGTATCAAATTGAACATAATGGACCCTTAAAACTTTTTCCGTCAGTTTTTTCCTTACATTTAGTAACCAAAATGGTTTCCCAAGACAAGAGCATCAAAAAGTATTATATAAAAAAAGCTAGTACAATACCTTTATGGCATGTGTATCAAGCAGTTTGTCACGCACATATTTTGACAAATCAGAAGGCATAAACTCAAAGATCAAGCCAATTTTGTGCACCTTATCCTCACGCAACATTTGTACGTCAAGCAGCCTTCAACAACAAATAATAAAGGAAAACAGTTATATACATTCTCTTATGTCGATATTATCCACATTCCATAATAAAACTTATATAAAAGATCACTTATAAGTGTCAAATGCTACTAGTATTAAAAACTTACAAATTTACCTAACAATGTGTGGATGGTCTAACTTCTTCAAGAGGGAAATCTCCCGCATAACAGAGGCACTCATACCACTTGTTTCAAACTCGTCTAAAGATATTATCTTTATTACAGCTTTTAATCTCGTGTGTTTGTTATGCACCAAAAAAAGGGAACCATACGAACCGTTACCAACTCGCTGGCCTATAACATAAGGATTCTGATAACACCAATAAGAGCATGGTTATGAGAGATTTTTAGTCACATATTCATACAAAATAAGTAAAATAAATTATTCTACCTTTCTCTCCATTTGTGTCTATGAGATGTTGCCAAATCTGATTACTAATGTTCCTGGTATTGAGAAATAGAAATAATACATTAAGGAAATCTAGAATCAAGTCAATCAACCATAAATAAATAAAAGTATGAACACCAACATGCCTCGCCTTGCTTGGATATCATTGCAACTAAACAAAATCAAACTACTAAGTTTTTTCGAAATCTAATATACCATTACTAGTCTAACCTTTTTTTCTTTTCTACATCTTTTGGTAAACCATGGTAGTTTTAGAAAACAAGAAACCAATACTAATGAAACTAAGAGCGATGATCCAGAGTACAAGACCACATTTGCCAGTGTCTCCCTTTCATGTCATTCTTTAAGAATATAGTCACTTTCTTTAACATAGTAAATAAGTTAGGAAGGAAACATCAAGTGACTCACTATGGTAATCGGTAGATATGGCCAATGAAGTGATGTCACTTGATGCGGTTGCAGTTGACTTTTATCCTAATAAATTTAAAGGTACATTATAGTAGTATTTACTCTATTCCTATCATTTGAACTTAAAGAATATTTGGTTTACAATTAAGGTGTGTGATTCCAACTTTCAGCGAGATGAATCCGCAGGTGATTGTTGATACCAATGAACTGGAATGGATTCCGTTCAAGCTTCATCGGTAGCATACTAATAACATAACTAATATTACCCACTGCTCCAACTCTTGAAAAAATAAAATATTTGGTTCTGTATGAAGATAATAACACCTCCTCTGTACTGAAAGAATTCCAGGTCTTCAATTGGTTAGGACATCAGGAGTATGTACTGTTTTGTTAAAATAGAAGATGTTTGCTGAAAAGAATGTGAAATTACTTACATAAACTTATTTAGTAAAACATATATATTCTTACAATTTAAATGTGAAAGAGAAAAATCAAAATATCTACCATTCGTAATGAGATCACCAAGCTATACTTGATGATACAATAACAAGGTAACTGAACCAGATCAGTTTTAAAACTTATTTGAAGCAATTGCATCCGGATAATGATATTAAGCAAAAAAGGAACTAAAATTTGAAAAAATTAAAGGTCAAGAAACATCTACGTGATCAAACAAACACAATATAATAATTGGGTGCATTCCAGGTTAGTGTATAGTTTCTAAAAAAATGACAAACCCCATACATGCAAAAAATGAGAAACTTTAAAGCAATTTCACTAGTTTCTTCACAATTATAAACATCTTACCATTTTTCTGTTAATTGTATTTTATTTTAGATATACCTTAACCAGTTTAGAACTTAAAGACAAATATTTCTGAATACAGCATTCATGTAATGCCTTTTAGTTGCTTGTGTGTGTAAATGTAATGTTTATCAATATGATGCAGTGTTATGTTTATCAACCTTTATTCAAAAACATACAGTTCTCTGCAAAAGCAAAAGTTTAGTACTACATTCCAGAAAGGGTTTAGTTTCATAAAAAATCAATCAAACTATATGCATGCATAGAAATTCAACAACATCAAAGCAATGACGACTTATGCAGGTATGATTAAAACCTAAAAGGAATACCCTTGCATGTCATTTTTTCATTTTGAAACTTTATGCTGTTGGTGAGAAGTTTTAACAGGATTTTGGCTAAGAGCAGTGGCGGACCCCGAAAAACTGAGACGTGGGGTCCCTACCGTGATGTAACTACTCCATATAATTTATAAAAAGTTATAACCCTTCTATTTTTGTTTGGATTTTCAAAAAAATATACTAGTATATATATTATATCAAAATAAAAAATGACACCCCGTATTTCATATGACACTAATGTTGCATATGTAAAATTTTGATTTTTATTTTGGTATGGTCTATTTAAGCCTGATTTGGTTGACATTTGTAGATGTGTGTTTTACTATTGTCTAAATTGGAACTGATTTGACCTAATCCGTTAAAGTTTGAACTGGTCACATCTACTTTATACGGAGTATATGTTTGGTCTTGTCTTTGACTGAAATCATCCAATTAAAAATATTCGAAACGCCTTTTACATTTGTATAGATATAAATATATGAGCCTAATGCGAAATCAACATGGCGCTGACTGAGTTTGAAATTATCAGCCCATGCACCAATAGACAAAGACAGAAAAATAAAGGTTGAAAACAATTACTTCGTAGTTTACTAGTACTATATTAAAGATTTATTTATTCAAATAAAAAACCAAATCTGAAAAACTGCACAAAGTAAAAAAAAACATTGATGTTTCATAATGTATAAAATATAAATGTATTAACCAGTAAAATTCAAACGGCATTTTCTATAGCATTTAAGCTTTTCAATTTGATGAAGAAGTACAACTAATTTTATAATTTATAGGAGAAAAGTAAATATATTCAATACTATGTGACATACATACCTCATAAGTGAAAAATTCTAGAGTACTATTTCTAAGATAATATTCATATTAATCGATTATTACATTTGATGATTTTAAAAACATTTTAAAATACTATTTAACTTGACACCATTGACTATGTATCTAGCTAACACAAATGTCATTATTCATAATAACAAATTGTTTAATAATAAGTAGGATTTGTAATCCTGATCCACACATATACAAAATTAGTTAATGAATAAGCTTGGTAAGAGCAAATAAAGAAACACAAAATATCCTAACTAAAAAGTAGTCACTGCATTGCTTTGGTAAACAAAAAAATCTGCTAACTGAACACTAAAAAGTTCTTCCCCCAAAAAAAACACTAAAAAGTAACGCGTAGCATTTTAACGTAGTTTTGCCACTGTTTTTGTCTTAAAATTCCAAAAAAGACAAATAAGGTGTTCGAATGGATTTGACCCTTGGACCTTGCGAGCAGGGAAGCTAATAGAGGGGCGCGGGGCGGGACAGGTGTTCTAATTCATTCTTCAGACTAAATATGGTATTTGTTGTATATATACACTTGTTGACCAGTTTTATAAAAAAAAATACAGATACTTTTTTGGAAGTCCGTGGGGTCCGGGACCCAGTGCGACACAAGGTGGGTCCGCCTTGTTCAAAATTGTTCCGTTCATGCTACTTAGGAAATTTCCCCTGTAAGAGATGAAAACTTCAAAGAAAGAAACTGTATATTTTTCATAAAAAGACCAAGCTGACAAGTTGTATGAAAAATGTGGGTGGCAAAGAAAATAGACCCATAGGCCATAGCCACAAAGAAAGCATCAACCCAAGTTTTCCATGCCCCAAGGCCAAAGGAAAAAAGCATTGAGAATGATAAACTGGAAAAAAATGGCAAAAAAAACATTTTTAAAGCCGCAACCATTCCCGAATAGCTGTGTTTCTTTGGAAATATTATCAAGACCGAAAGTTAAAATACAGAGATGAATTTGTTTAGATGCTCAAAGACCAAATAAAAGAACATGACCAACATCCACGAATAGTGCTAAAAATTGATAAATGAATGCATTAGCAAACTGATGACTCTTCCAAATGCGTTGCTTTTCACTCAGAAAAAAACAGAATAACATGAAAATCAAATTTTTGAAAAATATTATGGAAAAACATTACCACAGAGATGACTCTTCCAAAAGTGTCTCTTTCCGCACAGACTATTGTCAACCTCAAAACTTCAAAACAGGATCTTTTCCTCGTCACTAAAGAACAAAAGAAATACGGGTATAAGAATAGCGAGTATCTTTGGCTATATAAGAAAAAATCATAAGACCCAAAATGATACCATTCATTCAACCTGGTAGGAGTGGTAGGGTGGAAAGATGAAAACAGGGTAAACTTTCATCGGTAAGAGAGTGGTGTGCACGAAGGAAGACTACAGAGTTACTCCGTATATGTTCAAGGGCTTACGGCCTCTTTTGGGCTGATGGGCCGAGATTCTAGGTTGTTTTTTTTTTTTTTTTGAATAAGATGGGCCGAGAATCTAGGTTGTTAAGAGCCCCGTTTGGCAACTCTTATTTGGTTCACCTTTCTATTTTCTTTTCAAAAGTAGACTACGAAAATTATCATTTCACAACTAGTCCATTCTCTGTTCTCAGTAAAGCGGAAATAAGAACTACGGAGTACTAAAATGTTTGTCCTAATGCGTGCACAGTGCACATGAGTGGTATCATGGTATGTTTGACACAATTAGTTGAAAAAATACTTTTGTGAGTTTTTTGATAATTGTTAGTTGTAAGTGACTGAAAAGATCTTAAAATAAAAGGCAGTAGTTGTTTGGTAAAAGCCGACTGTTTGATTTAGTATCGTTTGGTATACAAGTTGTTAGAACAAATTAATACTAAAAGTCACGGTCTTTTCTCAGATGCTACTCCCGTAGTATCTAAAAAAAGATCTTTTATTTTTTGAAAAGCTCTTAAATTTTGTCATGTCAAACATACAACTAAAAGCTTTTAGAGACTTTTTAAGCAGTACAAAAGTTAGAAGGTAGAGACTTATGTCTGTCAAACATGCACCAGGTCTCAATCGTGACACATTATTTTCTGAAGTCAAAATTTTATCCATAAATTTTTGAGATATTACCCGAAATAGGACTAAAAGGCTTAGAAAATTCCAAAATAGGACAATCAAACAAAACTTTTCAAGAATAAAAAAATACAAAATAAGGATACTTTTATAAATTGAAAATCTAGGATCTTAAAAATTGCAGAGACGAAAAGTTTAATAAGAAAAATTTAAAAAAAAATACATAAAATTTTTAAAATTTACATATATAGGAAATTATTAATAGGCCAACAAAAAAGTCTATAAATCATATTAAAAAATCACAAAAAAAACTTAAAAAAGTGTAAAATTATTCTTTTTTAAGCAAAGTGTAAACTTATTCTTAAAACTAAATTATCGAAAATACCCATGTGAAAGTTTATAGAAATTAAAAAATGTAAAAATATTAAATAGTATGAATTTTTTTATTTGAAAACTTTCTAAAAAACAAAAATAAATATATAAAATGTGGACTCATTTATAAAATTCCAATTACTTTTTATAAAATTAAATAAAATAGAAAATAATATTCATAAATATGAAATGAGAAACATAAAGTGAATTAAAAGGCGTAAAACTATGAAAATACTAAGAAATAAAAATGTAAAAAGTTTAAAAAGAAAAAATCTAAAAAGCATATACTAATTTTATTTTTAATACTTTAAAAACAGTTCTAAATTTGAGTTACTATTATTATCATAATTTTATTGTTGCTTTGATTGCATATTGTTTCTTTATGTTTCTTTTGGTTGATTAATTTGATAATTTGTTTTTCAATTATTTCTTCATGTTTCATGGTATTGTATCTTCCTAATATAAAGGGTGACCTGGACGGCTGTCCCAAATTTCCGCCCATTTCCCGTTAAGTCAAGCGTCGTCTCTTTCTGTTCACTGCCTCCGTCTCGGGTCTTCCCCTTCCCCATTTTGAATTCGATTTTTAATTCAAAAACCATTTTCGCTTGATTTGGTGCCGATCTTCCACCCATTGTTCTTCCGTCAGGCTACTGTAGAAGGATGTGCTATGTGTGGTTGCGTGTTGTTTTTGTTTATCGGTGGACTTGTGGTTTTCATTCCATGCCAACCCTACCTCTTACGACAATTGTACACTCAAAGTCAGCCTTCCCCATAACTCGACGTCGCAAATTCTCGAAGTAGAACAGTTCCCTCGCCTCGTCGCTCCATCTCTGCATACGAATTAGCCAGGTTTGTCTTCTTTCCATTTTCTCTCTATAATCAAGGTCTCTTGCTCATTCATTTGGTAGTGAGCACCATTAATTTTGTTCTGGCAATTATAAAGACTGCTATTATTGGCTTGGTGTTTGAATTTCCTTACCCTTATCTGGTATCTTCCCCTATTAACTTAGTCCCCCGCTGGCCGCTGCCATCCCCTTCGCCCCTTGTTTTATTTTTCGAGTTCTAATATATTCTGTGAACATACATTCACAACTTGTGGCTTATTATTTGGTGTGGCAGATGAGATTTACTACCTCGGTAACTTAAAAATCTTCCCATTTAAAAAGTAGGTAGATTAAGAATAGTGAAAGATGATATGAATTATTGAGGGTATGATGGGAAGATAGTGGAATAATGTGATGGAATGTAGGATAAATCCAAAAAAAAGTAGTTGTAATAGTGTATTATTTTTAGAATTATTGAGGGTATGTTGGGAAGATTTAGAAGTGAGAAGATTTTTTTGTTACGGACGAAAAAGGAAAGTGAGAAATTTTTTTTGTTACGGAGGGAGTATATGGTTATATGTCTCTCTATTTTTTTGGGATGGGGTTACCCAGAGTCTAGTTTCAGAAGAGGCTTTCTTTAACCCTATCTGGTATGTTCCCTATTAACTTAGTACAATCCATTACGTTTACAAACTAGAAGGCTCTAAAGTACTCGGACTATATTCGTGGCAGACAAATCGAGTTTAACTACAATCCTGTAGTTTCGTAGTATGCCGCCGCATGGCAGGCACTTTAGGCCGAGGTGAAGAAATCCAATTTAAGCCATCATCTGTGGCCAGAAGTATGCAGTCTCGGCAAGTGCTAATGTGCGTCTTTGGCCGAGATGTCCAGTCCACCTCGTGTCATGGCATTCCTTGACGAGATCTCTCCACAAACTCCCCCATTTTGGGACATAGAAACGACGCCCCTTTGTGTAGAGAAGGCCTCCTCTTCCCAAAACCGTTGAGTCTTGCCCTCCTTGGCTAACTTCATCAACTCTTTTGTCATGGGATCGTGTTCAAGTCCCTCCTTGATGCGTCCAACCACGTCCTCATTCGTTTGGCTAATGGCTGTGAGCTCCGCCTTCCTATTAAGTGTGTCGGCTACAACATTGGCTTTCCCCGGTTTATACTCTAAGGTGTAGTCGAACTCTGCCAAGAAATCTTGTCACTGAGCTTGCTTGGCTAACAACTTCTTTTGAGTTTGGAAATAGCTCGTTGCCACGTTATCCGTCTTGATGATGAAGTGTGCGCCTAAGAGGTAGTGTCTCCACACGCGCGAGCAATGAACCACCGCGATCATCTCCTTCTCTTGCACGGTGTAACGCCGCTCCGTCTCCCTCAACTTGCAGCTCTCGAACGCTGTCGGATGCCTCTCTTGCATTAAAACTCCTCCAATGGCAAAGTCGGAGGGATCGGTTTGCACCTCGAACGGTTTGCCAAAGTCCGGTAAAGCTAGAACGGGCTCTTGGCTTACCGCGGCCTTTAAGTCATCAAAGGCCTCTTGACATGCCTTGGACCATTCCCAAGTCCTCCCCTTCTTGAGTAGTTCCGTTAATGGGGCTGCCCTCTTGGAATACCCCTTTAGAAAATCGCGTCGAAAATTACTTAGACTGACTGCTGCTTCATAACAAAGAAGAGCCGACAATTTAGTGAGCCATTTTGCTTTATCTCATCTTATTCTCATAAAGATAAAAAATATTTAATCAATTGTTGTGTACTAATGTTTTGATTTGAATAGAATGAATCAGAAGTTCACAAAGCCTCTATATCCATTTGAGTTTTTCTTTTTCTTGCTGCAAAAAAACAGTGCAAGGAGAATGTCAGACATTCTAAGACCTGAAAAGTTGAGATGTATCTCGCCCCATCACCACTTCCCACGGCTCCCTCTTGTTAATGCTTATAAACTAAGTGTCATGTTTTATGTTTTAAACACCATCTTGAGTAATTGAGCCTGTTTCGATAATTTGGTTGAATTTCTTGAAAGGAAAAGTTAAAATTCGTATCTGCCACTTGTTCGAAGAAAGAAAACATACTAAGCATTATGCTTCTTGTCTGCCTTACAAAGAAACTTCTTGTTCTGGTTAGTCTGCAATAAGGCTACACCTGCTTTGGAGGTAAAATGAATTTTATTTTGGTAATTTTTATATATAGTGTAGTCTGTAACTACAACTTCCTGGTGTTTTTTCACATTGTAGACTTATAATATATTAGCACAACATATTAGCAAAATACTTTTTTTGTATGGATATTAACTTATGAGTTGTAAAATATTTATGTTTTATTTTCAGAGATTAAGATCAATGCACCAAAAGGAGGTCACTAAATCTGCAGGGAATTGTAAGAAAAGGCATGCTGGAACAATGGAGGTTATTGAAAATGTTGGTGCAGCAAGACAGAGATTTCACCTTCTATATAGCTCCATCGAAGATGTTGCACAAAATACATCTCAAGTCATTGATCATACTCGGTAGTAGTGTAGCTATTTCTTTTTGTAACCTACAAATGGTGTTTTTTGTGGATGGTAGAACTAACAAATACTGATGATGATGCATTTATTTCATTTTGTTTTGTTATCTTATTTTGAGGTCTCTATTTACATTGAGATACTTTGGAGGAAGGAGAGAGGGACTAGTAATCTTGATATTGTGAAATGCATCTAAAATGGGAGACTTGTGATATTCTGTAGTGATATACTTATGATCACCTACAATGCTAATTTTGTCATAATATATAGTTGTAAGGGATTCTATTGAATTATTACACATTCTGTGCAGCATGTTTTGGTTCAAAAACATGTTATTTGAATTCATATTACTTCAATTTGTAGCATGTTCAATGCTACAGGCTGCAGCACTCCATTATAGATTTATAGTGTTGGGCTTGTATCGGAAGTCATAGTCTTTTAGCTACAAGGGTTTTATAATTTTATTTTTTGTTCAAAAGCTACATTGTTTCATTTCATATTCCTTCAATTTTAAAACTGCAACAATCTCTAAAGGATTGTGGCAGCAGGATTTTTTGGTATCAAACTGCAGGGGGATATTAAGATTTTGCAATCAGTCCTAAAAAAGATACTTTAGTTGTGGCTGCATTTCAGAAAAAGATAGCAGAAAAATGATATACATTGCATCAGTAGTATTCATTATATTCATTAACTGCTGAAAAACAATTTATAGTTAACATAACTTTAAAGCTAACTACTGTACTTGACAGACATTAATTAATGTTATGTTAGGATGTTAGGTATTGAGTCGAAGACAATGAATGACTTGGAGTGACGTAAAATGAACGACACCGGTGGATACCATGTTACTTAAAGCTAACTTTTTGGACGGGTATGTCCAGTGGCAGAGCCAGGAGTTCGTGTTAGTGGTGTAAATTTAGCAAAACAATACTCCCTCCGTCCCAAAATGGTTGGCCAAATTTCCTTTTTGGTCGTCCCAAAAAGATTGGTCATTTCCATTTAAAGTAAGAAATATGCGGCTAAAGTTAATTCTCTCTCTTCTGCACAAATTTTAACCACACAATTTTTACTTTATTAATCCACGTGCAAGTCAACATTGGCCAACGATTTTGGGACGGAGGGAGTATTATATAATAATGTGTACATATATAAAGCAAAAAAGAAAATATTGTCATTGGTAAAATTAAAGTACTAATTCACAACTGTCCACGACGTGTTTTCATATTTTGAAAATGTTGTACAATTTTTTCTTTGTCAACACTTTTGAATATATCTTTTTCAATAAAAGTAACTAAGGCATCATTCATCATAGCATCCCCCATTCGATTGCGCAACATGTTCTTCATGAACTTCATGGCTGAGAAAGCTCTTTCCACAGTTGCGGTGGCCACCGGTAAAAGCAAAGCTAATTTCACAAGTAAAAAAACTAATGGATACACAATATGTTTCTTTGTCTCCACCAATTTTTGAGCAAGAGAACCAACTTCTCTAATATCTATAAATGCAGAGTTGGAGCGCACATCAAGAATAAAAGTTTCAAGTTGACTGTCAAGAGCAAGAACATCTACCAGTGAAAAGTCAAAAGGATATAATCGAGCCATGCGAATCAACTTGTCCTTGTCAAAATATGAAAAAGTGTCTTTAGGACTAAGGCAAGCCACACAAAGAAGCAATTCTGTAGAAATCTCTGTGAATCGATTGTTCAACTCCTAGCGTTGTCTATCCACCACAACATAGAACAAGTCCACTTTGTAACGATGTAAGTTTGTGATTTGGTAACTTTGCGACGGACTCTCCCATGAGGTACATAAAAATCATTCATACTTGGAATTGAAATTTTATTCTTTTCACAAAAAGAAGAAACTTCACCAAAGAGAATATCCCATTGGGCACAGACTGCGACCGAGGGTTTCCGATTTCAGCGATTTGGGAATTGGGACTGCGACTTACGGCGTTCAATAGTTTTTTTTGTAGCGGGAGTTGGAGTTTAATCAGCGATTTGGGCACAGACTTTTGAATTCTCCTTTGCTGACTTTTCAATTTGGTGTTCCAACTTTTAAAATTTTTAAATTGACCCCCATTTTTTTAAATGTTGGATGGTGTCAATTTGTAATTTATGAAAGATTATCTATACCTATATAGAGAATTTTTATTTTTCAGTGGTGTCAATTTTAAATTTTAAATTTTTTTTTATGTACCTACATATGGGGAAAAAAATTCCAGTGGTGTCAATTGACACCACTGGCCAAAGGGTGGCTCCGCCATTGGGTATGTCCATCACTCAACGAAATGAGACTATGAATGCTTTTCTATGTATGTAAATTCAAAAGTCTAGCATAAACAATTCGTTGAGCAAAACGGACGTGCTTTGCGAAAAAGGTAGAAAATGATTCATTGTGTTACAAAGTTGGTCATGAGAAAACAAATGCAACAAATTTACACCCTATTTAAATTTAAGGAGTTTCAAAAAATAATTGATAGCATTTATCATTTTATTGTTATTGTTATCCCTACAAAGTACAAAGCAAAGGTGATGAAAATTTATGTGGAGAGGGATAAAAGCATTATTGGCGCTGAGAAGACCGTTGACTTCATCATTGACATGACCGCTCTACTAGGGCTGGGCACGGGCCGGGTCGGGGCGGGTAATGCAAAAATAAAATGGAACCGCCGGTTCCATTGTACAGTTCGGTCCGGTCCGGGTATTACAATTTTCAAAATAGGAACCGGAAATTACCCGGCCCGTTTGAAACGGGTAGGTCCGGTCCGGGTTTTACGGTTTCTATTTTCATGTCTTGAAATTTGTAAAAACTCATGAAGTTCCAAAAATCAATAATCAATAATATAGGACATTAGCAAGTTTCAAAATAACATAGTGGTGCACATGTAACACAAGCGACAAGTCCAATACTCCATAATTTCATGTATATAAGTTTCAAACAATTAAAGAAATTCCAAAAAAAATGCAACATAGCCAAAATACATATGTTCTAACATTTGTATTTAAACATGTTGTCTAACATCACATATTCAAGTGATTGCTTTTTTTTATATTAAATTTTAAGTACTAGCCAAAGTTGACACATACATGGTGGGTGGTAAACACAATTTATATATTTTAAGAACAATATAATAAAAAAAATAACAAAAACATTTTTAACAAATGATTAAATTCCATAAAAAGGAATAATTCAATAACAATAAAAAGTAATAAGATATTTATGAAACATTTAATCAATAATTTGAAAACAAAAGGATGTTACTCCAACTCAATTTAAAAAATTATCACAAAACTATTTCAAAACCGATTATCACAAAACTATTAATAAATTAATATACAATATATATAACGGGCCGGGCCGGGTACCCGTTATTTTTTAATTTTGGAACCGGTCCGGTTCCTTAAAGAAAATTACCCGACCCTACCCGAACCGTTTTATGGCAACAAAAAATGGAACCGGCCCGTTTTAGACCCGAACCGCCATAACCCGGACCGGACCGCGGTTCCAAGACCCGTTTGCCCACCCCTACGCTCTACCACTTTTGGAATAGTTGTCACTTTTTGAATTTGGGGTATAGCTCACTATAATTCAACAATCATCTCATGCAATTTTCGATGCAACCACCTTTTTAATCACCACAAGTGGGAGCTTTTGCCGCAATCAGGAAGGGTTTTTCTTGTTTTAACGAGGTTTCCTCAACCCCTCCTTGTATTTACCGACTAGTAGGTAGTCCTGGACTCGGGCCGGTTCGGGCCTGGGCCCGGCCGGGCCTCGGGCCATGATAGTTGGGCCCGGGCCCGAACCGCTGGTGGGCGGTTCCGGTTCCGGTTCCGGGCCAAACCGGGCCGGGCCGGGCCTACCCGGAAATATTTTTTTTTTTTTTTTGGCTCTTCTATTTAACCCCCAACACCTCCCCCTCAACCCCAAACTACCCCAAACCACCTCAAATGGCCCAAAATACCTAATCCAACCCAAAACTTAAAAAAAAATCCAAAAAAAAAAAATTAAAAATCGAACCGAACCGGGCCCGAAACGGCCGGGCCGGTTCGCCAAAACCTCGACCCGAGCCCGAACCGCCCAACAGCCGGGCCGGGCCGAACCGAACCGGTGGGCCCACCAGGCTCCGGGCCGAACCGAACCGGTGGGCCCACCGGGCTCCGGGCCGGGCCGGGCCTCACAGTAACCGGGCCGGGCCGGTTCCGGGCTGCCCAACCCGAGTCCAGGACTACTAGTAGGGCTGGACTCGGTTCGGGCCGGGCCCGGTTCGGGCCTTGAACCGGCCGGGCCTCGGTTCACCAAAAAGAGGGCCCGGGCCCGAACCGGCAGGTGACCGGTTCCGGGCCAGACCGGGCCGGTTCCGGGCCGGTTCACCCGCCCCATTTTTATTTTTTTTTTATTTTTTGGCTTCTCTTATTTAACCCCCTACCCCTCCCCCTCAACCCCAAACCACCTCAAATGGCCCAAAATACCTAATCCAACCCAAAAATTAAAAAAAAAATTCAAAAAAAAATAAAAAAAAAATTATTCCGGCCCGGACCGGGCCCGAACCGGCCGGGCCGGTTCACCAAATAGAGGGCCCGGGCCCGGAACCGGTATTCACCGGGCCGGTTCGACCCGAACCGCCGGTGGACCGGGCCACCGGGCCGGGCCGGTTCACACAGTAACCGGGCCGGGCCGGTTCCAGTTGGGGCCGCCCGGCCCGAGTCCAGCACTACCGACTAGGCGACTTTACCCCGGAGTAAGATTACAGTAATGAGGCACTATTTTAACGAGGTTTCCTCAACCCCTCCCTGTCTTTACCCCTCACTAAGATTCCATATTGACACAACACGTAGAACATTTTTATTTAATTCAAGCAAAAGGTAATCAAGGTTATCAAGCCAAAAGGGTTCGAACTGATCTATTCAGAAGACATTAAATAATTATTAATAATAAGTGCATTCACGACTTTTGAGGCCATATTCTCATAAAACAAAGTTAAGGGTTCCATATTCACACAAAGAAGCCACTCATCACAAAAGATGCCGGGCCAAAGATTCGTTAATTGGAAGGCAGACGGGCTCTCATTTAGGTTTGTCCAAATCATGGAAGTACTCATGACCAAGTGCATCCTTAGCTTTGATCCTCCTTGACGGTTCAACACGAAGCATTTGCTTGAGGAGAGGCACAAACAATGAGTCAAAAAACAGCTCAAACAAGCGACTTTCAGAAACCACATTATATTGTGCAAAACATCCACATTGTACGCTAATCAACAAAAAGATCTTGCTTATGGATGTCAAAATACCTTTTATTACAAGTTTATGATCATTTTGCTTTCAATTGAAAGGAATATACATGGGTATCAACTTTTCTGTCTCAATTTCTATCTTAAAGTCTTACGTTCTAAAATAAGACAATGTAAGGTTTATGATTTAGGGTGGGGGGAGGGGGGCTGATTTAAAAATTGCTTTTTGCTATCCTTATTTGGTTAGTAATCCTGGTTTGGTAGCATGAGAAAGTGACCATGTTGCTCTATAATGCAATGCACGTACATGGGGTCAACCTATTTATGGCTCAATTTCCATCGTACCTTCTGAAATAAGAGAGAAGTGACTATGAAAATGACCAGATAGAGGGGTGCTGATCAAAAAAATGCTTGTGGCTACCCTCCATTTAGTTCTAACAACCCAGATTTGGTTACTTGGGATTGTGACTATGAAATTGACCAGATTTGAGTCATTTGACTACCTTTGTAAAAAATACTGTGCAATTTAAACAGACATTTGTAGCAAAGGGAAGGTAGGTGATTATTTGCAATCATAGCCAAAAAAAACATCAAGAAAAGGATTGACCTATGAAGAGGGTTTTGATAGTGTTAGAAAATGCTTAATTTTATTTGACCCACAAAAAAGTTCTGGGCTGCCTGTTTGTACCCATGGTTTCTGATCAGTATAAGGTTATTTTGTTCATTTAAAAAGAACTAAAAAACCAGTACAACAAAGATGTGTGTATTACATGTAAAAGATAAAAAATACTTTTGTATGCTCAATACTAGGTGAACACAAATTTCCCCGCCAAAAATGTTTATAATCCAAGAGTACTTAGAGCGTACCGAGAGAAGATCGATGCCAGATTCTTCTAGACCAGGGAACATTTTAGCAAAGTCCTGCATTTTTATGTGTTAAAACTGCCAACATTTCCTAGTTAACCAAAATCCTTAAAGACAATCTCATACCATGCGTCTGTACTGAGGCCTGCTTAGAGGGTAACGGCACATCTCTGTGTATCCAGGCAGCAGTTGATCTTCCTCAGGTGGGCCGACAACCCTTAAACCAACCAAATTCAAAATATCAAGTGAACAACAAAATTTAATACACTAAAACTGTAAGGCACGAAAAGAGAGTTGAACTATTACTGCAAAATCTTGTGTGCCTGAGCTCCAGGATAACCAAGCGATCCATCAGCATTGACAAATAGTGGTTCTTGTGTCACCATCTCAGCAAATATACATCCCACTGACCATACATCAGATGCTTCAGACCATTCCTCTAGTGTTAGGAAATATTCAGGAGGTCTATATTCAGGTGCATTCCTCTACAAGACAAAACAAAAACCAAGATGAAGTAACCACTTTAATCATATGTTTTCGGCGCGAAAGTGGCAAACCTCAGGGGCAAAGCATTATTACCGGTAAAGGATCGACAGGCAAAGTGCCACTCATAATTGTAGCCGATTTATCAGCCTCAAGTACAGCCCATCCAAAACCAGCAAGCTTGACATTGCCTTTGCTGTCCATCAGCAAGTGATTTGGTCGCAAATCTCGGTGAAGAACGTTCAGAGAATGGCAATGCGCAAGAGCAGAAAGAATTTGATGTAAATGAGTCTGCCAGCCACAAAAACAAGCAAAACTTAAAGCTTCTTCACGGCATTAGAGTCCACCATTTGCAACAGCTAAGCAGTAGTGCAAAGTCTATCGCCTAGTGTAGTCCATCACAGAGAACCACACCCAATTTTCAAAAATGCAAAACTAAGAAGCCAACCTTTATTTTATGTGGGTCCCTGACAGGAATTTTTCTCTTCTCCATGAAAAAGCAATGATCATCATGCTCATAAACTAAGCCCAGAGACATGTCTCCCATTTCAACATGAAGCAATCTGCAACAAATATTACATCAAATGACCAACACACACAAACACACACATATCTACATGTTTATGTATATCTATGTACGAACATATCTATGTATGTATAAATAGAGAGAGATCTTCTTTCACTTTATTATAAGTCATTTCACTTAGTGTTGCCGATTGAAATATAGCAACCTTTTCAACAGATAAAAAAGACCACATCATTAAATCATCCGCACATATTAATGAAAAAACCCTACTTAAATATTAATAAAATAGAGTATTGAAAATTGAAGAACAAATCATGCGTATATTATTCTAGAAGAACAAATCAATTGTTTTCTGTTGCATAAAACAAGTCTTTATTATTCTAATAATATTTAGACATCTAGATAAATTTACCCATGCTTAACTGAGGAAGCGGTCTAGCCTAGCTGGTCGCCGACTCACTCTCCCTTATGGGAGGTCCCAGGTTCAATTCTCAATGGAGTGAGATTGATCCCAGTTTACCCCAGACCCCCAAACCCCTCTCCCCCGACGCCCCCGGGGTAAAAAAAAAAAAACTTTACCCATGCTTACCTATATTCACAAAATTATATAATAAAGTCATAGATGGAAAGTACTTATACCACCACCGGGACAACACCCTACCCAAACACTTGTCATACTTAAAAAGTAAGGAAGGCAACTTTGTCTTGATATTTAGCTTCCTTACCAGTCTGCCCACAAAAACAGTGAATAGAAGTGTTAAGAAAAAGGGTGGTTAGAGTGTATAACTAGTGAAATTACTTCATTGTTTAATTGCTTAATTTATTGCAAGTCCCTAATAAAAGTATATAAGAATGCCTACCTTGCAATGTTCTCATGCCTCAACTTCATCAACACTGAAGTCTCTTTCATTATCTCTGAACGAGCGGCTTCAGGATTTGCCCACGAATGATATATTTTTTGAATGATTACATTACTGTGAGTGAGACAGTTATAGCCCAAGATAAATGTACCATTGCTGTCTTTTCCGGCAGTTTTTATACGCATTTTACGACCATAAATGTCTCTTGTGGACGTTGTGGTCTTTTTGAAGCAACTGATCTAACCAATAAAAAAAATCACAAAGTGAGCAGATCCAATTACAAACTTCTGATTAAAAGTAGATTACTATCACACCGTACCGTGTTGCCCATCATATGAATGAGATTCACATGGACTCTTTTTATGGCAAGTTTCTGAAAGTGAGAAACAAAATATAAGTTAAAAAAGGGTGGGCAAAAATCTGATGAACCACTGCCAAAGCCACTTTAATTGAACAGCAAATGCTGTTGTTTTACATAGTCAATGTAGTGCAGAATAAATTTTTCATTAACAGTAACTTTTGATGTGCGGGTCATTTGAATATTTGATAAACATCTTAACGAACTATTAACCCATTATTTCCTTGAAATTCGAAAGATGTGTATATTAACCCATTAAAGCACACAAGTTGTGATATGTATATTAGATTATCACTACATGATGTGTTCATGGAGCACCAATGTCACCACAAAAGATGGAAAGTAAAGAGAAACTCGGTGAAGTACACATACAACCGCACAAATCTAAGAAAAATGGAAATCAACAACTTGAGAATCTTTGGAGATCTTAGATACTATTTCCTAGACAAATGACAAATAGGGATTTGGGAATCTTTGAAGGTCTTAGATCTTATTTTCTGATTGCAATCTCTGAATTATTGTTTTCAATTTTGAGTTGATTTCTGATAGGCCTCCAGCAGAGTAGCACAGATAATAATAAATAAGAATAATAATATTAATAATAATATAATAATATTATAGGAAGAGTTAGTACAAACAGATGTTGAGAGTAGAATAGAAGGAAGGCTGGTAATATTTTGGGCTTGGGACTTTGGGAGCTGGGATTCTCAAACTGCCTTTGTATTTCTCTTTCTTTCTCTGTTAATAACCTTCTTCAGACAGTTCACTCTTTCTTCATCTTTCTTCTCTTGAATTTACTCTGAAAATAGCTAGTAGTTATCATTGGTATAATGGTATCAGAGATGACGTTTCTGTCACCTGTCAATGATCGCTACTCAAGAAACAATGGAAAATTCGCTCCAGAGTTTGCAGCGCGCAGGGGAACTTAGGCGCGAAGAGAGTCGGAAGGCATGGGAGAGGAGTAGCAAAGAGTTACAGAATGATATCGCAGAATAGTGCAAATTGATACTGCAGCGTTAGGGTCGACATGAGCGTGGAAGATTGCTGACCATAAAGCACTGTCCGAATTTGAAAAGCATGGGTAGTTCGCAATCACTCATCGAATCTCCCTGTTCGCAATCGCTCATAGAATCTCCCTGTTCGCAATTCGTAGCCGATGTCCCCGGTTCGCAGGTTTCTTCGCAGATGCAATGATTCTGAACAATAGACTCAGCGAAAATAACTATGAATCCGATGGAGATATCCAAGATTACAGGAAGTTTACAGAAAACTATCAAGAAAATCAAAAATAAAAATCTTTATTGGAGATGAACAGTAACCGTAACAATGGCCGAAGCCCCCAAATGGCCGAAGCCTCCAAAGAGAGAGAGTAATCTCAATCTTCCCAGTACCAATGACAATAGTCCAAAAAAGCCTGCCCTCTCCTTTCCAGACTTGTCCTATTTATAGAATTACAACTCAACCGACTGTAGTTAATAGCTACTAACAGAAAACAACCATTAACAAACTTTTCTATTTATTTCTTCTAGAAAAGACTTGACCCAAGTATCTATCTTTCTTATTAAAAGTGGTAATATCCCTATCAATCCTGACAGAAATCTTCCTCATCTTTGCGCCTCTTCCTTCCCAATATATTACTGTGTTCTGAACCTGTAACTTCCCAGTACTTGAACCTTTATTTTTCTCTTCTTCACTGTCACTAGGAGCACAAGCAAAATCCTCGTGACAGAATACTTCCTGTGTTTACTTATGAACCTTTCAAATAAACCTTTAACCCATTGAAGAAGCACAACATCACCTATTGACTCTCCATCTTTATTTTTACTTTTACTATTTCAGTTCCTATCATATGGTAACAAAGCGTGCAGAACGCTATACCTGTGCATGGCCTATACTCGATTAAGAATGGAGTAACGTGTGGAAAACCTAGAACACACCTTAACAGAAGTGAAAACTGCCGTGAACAAACTGCTTGGATTGTGCAAGACGGACGAACTGAAGAATCTGATGTTACGAGGGGATCGCCATAGGAGAAGAGGACGGTCGCGGGTGTCTAACCACCATCGCCGGGAGGAAAGTGTGAACTCATCACATACAAGAGGTCATTCTATCAGTTCTCACGCTTGATCCTTAATTCCAGAATCTACAGTAAATCAGTGTTATGCTCGACCGGGAAGGACAGTGGATTTACCTATTTTAACGGGAGAACATGCACATGGCTGGATCATAGCCGTCAAGTAGTAATAGAAATGGAAATTCCAAACAAGATAGCAAAGCAATCTTAGATACGGCTGAGGTTTTGTCCATATTTCATTGCCAAAACAGAACTAACATTTTTCATTAATTGGGAAAATTCGAAGAACTAACACATAGTCACATACTCACATAGTTCGTGGAACGCTTCGGAACGGGAACGAGGAACGGGAATGCGGTTCGCTAGGTCTACCGTAACCGATTCAGAGGGGTGGTAGGTTCATTTCGGTACGCGTTCGGTACGATGTACCTTATGTTTTAGTACTATAATAAAACCGAATTAAAGATTTCATAAAATTAAATAAAAACAGATTTCAAAACATAATTTCATAGCATTAAACAAAATAAATAACATTAAAATTGTGCCACGTAGAAACTCTAGACTTAACTGAAAACACAGAAACACTAAGGGAAACATTAATTAAAAGTTTAAAACAGAAAAAGGAATTTCACTCCATTAAATTGGCGACACTGGGAAGAGTAAGTGGCATAGGAATACGAAGAGTCTGGTACTCTGGTGGCCTGGTTCGACCCTGTTGATGACCTAGACCAGAAAACGAAGAGGTTCGTTTGAGTCTTCAGGAACGTTTAAAATTAAATGCTTAGGGTATTCATATGTGTACGCAGAAAGGAAACGGTGATTGTTGATCGCGTTTGCGAACGACCTGGAGACCAGTTGCGAACGTAATCGAGAGCGGTTGCGAACAAATTCTTGAGTGATTGGGAATGACCTGGGAACCGTATCTGACGGTGATCCCTGTAGCGTTTGGAACGCTTTCGTACCGCGATTGGGAACGACCTGGGAACCATATCTGACGGTGATCCCTGTAGCGTTTGGAACGCTTTTGTACCGCGAATGGGTACGGATCGTTCAGAACGCAGATCGCGGGGTCTTCAGCGATTTATGTAACTATGAACTAACATTTAACATTAATTAGGAAAAGTCCCGTCAAGATGAAAACTTCAAAGAAAGAAACTGTGCATTTTTCATTGAAAGCCGACGAAAAACGACCAAACAGTATGAACTATGAACAATGTGTGCAGCAAATTGAATAGACCCATAGGCCATAGGCCATAGCCACAAAGAATAGCATCAACCCAATTTTCCATGCCCCAATGCCGAAGAGAAAAAGCCACTGAGAACGATAGACTGGAAAAAAAATGGCCAGAAAAAACATTTTCAATGCAGCACCCATTCCCGAATCGCTGTGTTTCTCTTGAAATATTATCACATACAAAAGATGAAATACAGTGATGGATTTGTTTACACGCACAAACACCAAAGGAAAGAACAAGACCAACATCCACGGATAGTCCAGAAATTTGTTAAATGAATGCATTATCAAACTGATAACTCTTCCAAACGCGTCGCTTTGCACTCAGAAACAACATAACACCATGAAAATAAATTTTTTGGAAAAAAAGAAGCCTTATATTTATTTTTAATATAATATCAAGGGAAACGGTACAAATATACTCCTATAGTATGGTTGTGAGAACAAATATTCTTGTTCTATTTTTTGGAAAAAATATACCTCTGAAGTTTATGTAGAGGTGCATACATACCCCTGAACTTGTGTTCCTACAAAAGAACAAATTTACCCTTATTGACTTTAAATAAAATAAATTTTAAATGACTCAAAAAAAAATAAAATGAAAAAATAAAAAGTTAAAGAGTTAAAGATTAAGGTTTATTTTTGTGTTAAAGTATTAACTATTTAATTTTAAGTGTCAAAATTATTATTTTTCTGTTGCAAATGAAGCACTTGAAATTCATAAATATTTATTTTAGTCTTGTTGTGAAATTTAAAACACATCGTTACATTTTTTAAATTAATATTCTTTGATTTTGTCTGACCATAATGAAATTAAATTCACTATTTTGTAATCTTGGACTAATTATCATCTTAAAAAATATGTAATTATACATTGCAACACATGTGTTAACACATTTCAAAAAGAATCTTAAATATATAGTATAGTTTTGAAATAATGTTTTATACCAAAAATACTAAGGGGGTGTTTGGATCTACTTCTGAAAACTAATTATACTCCTTCAGGGAGTAGAATCAAATATTGAACTATTTGGGTGAGAGTGAAGAAGTACTTCTTGGTGCTCCAAATATATCTCATAGAAGAAGCTTTTAGAAGCTGAGGGAGACCAGCTCCTGAAAAACTCATTCTGACTCTGCTTTTAAAAAAGAAGCAGAAGCAAAATCAATTCCAAAGAGTCAGACCCCTAAATTGTGATACAAAAATAATAAAAGGAAGAATTGGACACAAGCAGGTTTTTTATTTTTATTTTTTCAATTTCAAATTTATAATTTATTTTTGGTGTTTTTGAAATTTATAGTATCTATTTAAAGTTAATAAAGGTAAATTTGTTCTAATATAGGAACATGAAGGTATTTTTGCACCTTTTATAAGTTCAATGGTATATATGCACTTCTACATAAACTTGAGAGGTATATTTGTCCCAAAAAATAGAACAGTTATATATTTGTTCCTACATCCATACTGAAAGGGTATATTTGTACCTTAGTCCCTAATATTAAGAATAATCATGAAGAATAGACTGAAAAATGTGACGGAAAAACATTACCACAGAGATGAATCTTCCAAAAGCTTCTTTTTTTCGCACACACGGTTGTCAATCCCAAAAGTTCAAAATGAGATCTTTGGGTTTCCTCATCACCAAAGAACAAAAGAAATTCGGAGTATAAGAATAACAGGTGTCTTTGGCTATATAAGAAAATATCATAAGACCCAAAATGCTACGATTAATATGAGTTCCTTTTACTATTGATTACTGAACACTATTACACTAATAATATATCAGTGGACAGTCCTGAACTAGGCAAAATTGAATTAAATAATTAAAATTATATCTACAATAATATTTTTGCACTAGAATAATATGTATGGAGGTTTACCTTCTAATACAAACAATAAGCGCGCAGCTTATCTGCGGGAGCCGCGATTTGCTTTGTCAGCGTGCTTGAGGGTTTCTCGGCTGTTTTCTTCTTGTGGTTCAACGGACGAAAAGGATGGAGGGAGAGGATGTAGTGAGAGTGGAGAATATGCCCGGCGGTCTGGTTGCTTCTGCGCGAAGGCGCGAGGCTCCTAACAGGGCAAGGGCAATCAACGGTCTTTCAGCGGATGAGGGGCAGAGTGGTTCTGGAAGCGAGGATGAAGCGCAAGGCAGGGGTAAGGGGATGCGATCGTCTGCAGGGAGCGGCAATGGAAGGAGCGAGGGTCGGTTGAGGAAGAGGAACCGCCTAGGGTTCCGTTGACGTCTCCCAAATTGATTTAGCCGCCTGGTTGGACGAGGAAGAGGACCCGTGTATATGGGTTGCGGATAATTTATGGTTGATTACGGGAATTATATTTAATTTAATTATATTAAAAAACACGTTAAATGTGTGACTCTTTTTGGAACGGGCAAAACAAACACCTTAATTATGTATGTTATAGAATAGATAGAGACCAGACATTTATCAAATCAGACCAGATCAACAAATTTCAATCCAAAATAAAACATCATTATTCTATTTTCATTTGAGGGCAAGAAAATTGGGTCTCTCACTCCCTCGACGTGATCTGAGACTAGGGAATCCTTTGTCCCCTATTTATTTATTATAGGGTTGTAAACAAATCAAATAATTTGTGCTCGATTCGCGATTCGAATTCGTATAAGATGATTCGAATTCGGAAAATTCAAATACAAATACAAATAAGAATATTAAATTTGATTCGAATTGTTATCAAATACAAATAAGAATATCAGTGTAATCGATTCGAATATTAATCAAATATATTCGATTAATAATAATGGTGATATTAATATCAATATTAATAATAATAGTAATAACACTATAATAACTTTTAAAAGATAGCAATACTTTCAAAGTGTAGCTCATATATACACTTTTGCATACAATTTTCAAGCCCATATGTAATAAATCAGAATATAACTATGAATACAAATCAACTTTTTGGTTCAAATGTCTTTCAAATACAATACAAATAATTATGTATTCGATTTGAAGAATAAAATAAGAGTTGTTTGACTTTGATATATATACAATGAACAACTTGTTTCACACATTATAAGTATAATTTCTAATTTGTCTGTGTTAGTATTTATTTCAAAAAGTTTGAAATAGATTTATACGAGTATTCATTAATCATAAAACTAATTCACTTTAGTATATTGAGCATCATCTAAAAATGCATTGATCCATTAAATTTAAATTCTAAAAACACATATTATAAGTCAAAGCATGCATTTAGAGCATAAAAATACGAAGTATATGTAAAGTTATTTTAAAGTGATATTTGACTAATATTTAACCTATGCTTAAATTGATTCGATATTCGTATATGATTCGTTAACTATTCGAATTGTTAAACAAATACAAATACAAATCGAAATTAATATTCGTTTCATATTTGAATTCGAATTCGTATTCAAACAAATTAAACAAATACAAATACAAAATCTCATTATTCGACTCGATTCGGTTCTAACTATAGTAGGATTCATCTTCTTTAATATTCTTTCTTGGGTATTAATTAATTCCTATTCATATTTCATATTGATATTTTGAACATTACTTAAAGGATCAACTAGTTTTGTTTCATATATTAATTAATACTAGAATCGGTCGATTAATACGCTTGTTATTAATTCGGTCCTTTCACGGTAGTAAACTTGGATTATTAATGCATGCATCTCATGGTCAATAATCTAAGGGGAATAAATTACATTGATTAACCAACAAACCGCTTGTGTTGAGGTTATCAATCTCAATCGTTTTCATCTTAAGTTTATTGCTACTATCAAGTTAATATATGGCGCTTGTTCTATATTGACTCGATAGTAAGTTTTATTAATGAACGCATCTCGTTATTAATAACTACCCTCGATGAACTGGATATACTCCTCGATTGAGTATTCGAGAGGAAGATAGTTAAAGATATAACCGGGATCGACGAACATTTCATTAAGTGGATAAAAGCAAAGTCAAGTCTCCTTCTCATTAATTAAACCACATAACTCTTTCATCTTCGTGCTTAAACATAATTTAAGTTCATTTACAAAATATTAAACCCCCCTGTTATTACTTATTTATTTCTATAAAAAGAGAAGTGTTCCTTTCCCTGTGGATACGAACCTTACTACACTATACTACGTATTAGTGTTGTATTGTATTTATTTTGAGTGCACACCGCGACAAAGTGCACGTCAAATTTGGCGCCGTTGCCGGGGAAAGGCAATTATTTTTCTTTTTATTTTATTTTCAGAAAAATCAAAAAAATTAAATAAACAAAAAAATATAAAGAGTTCTTATTTTCTATTTCTGAGCTTTGTTTGAGTATATGGTTTAACACCGATCTATAAACCAAATCACCTACCGAACAAATCCCGAAACAGAACAAGCCTTCGAGAGGTTTAGGAATTTATTTCCGAATACTTTTTCGGAGGAATCATCAAGTGCTAGTTCTTATTCCAGCGAGAACGAAGAGCCAATCACTATGGCTCAAGAAACAAGAACGTTGAGGGAGCTCACGGCTCCTAACTTAAATCAACAACCTCTATGTATCACCTTCCCCACTCTTGATGAAGATGCTACATTTGAGCTCAAATCGGGCCTCATTCATCTACTCCCTTCATTTCATGGCCTAAGGGGCGAGGATGCAAACAAACATCTTGCGGAGTTTCATATAGTTTGCACTAGTATGAAACCAAACAATGTCACGGAAGAACAAATCAAGTTGAGGGCCTTTCCATTCTCACTGAAAGACACGACTAAGGATTGGCTATTCTATCTTCCCTCGAGAAGCATAGAGACATGGGCGGCAATGAAGAAATGCTTCCTAGAAAGGTACTACCTCGCCTCCATCTCATCATCTTTGAAAAAACAAATAAGTAACATCGATCAAAAAGATGATGAGACCTTATATGAATATTGGGAACTGTTCAAAAAGTTATGTGCTAGCTGCCCTTATCATGGCTACACCGAGCAAGACCTCATACTCTACTTTTACGATGGTCTTGTTGACGATGATAGAAGAATGGTGAATGCCGCTTGTGGGGGTGGCATTGTCAACAAAACTCCCTCACAAGCAACAAGCCTAATCTCGGAGTTGGCCGAGAACTCCAGGCATTACAACGGGCGGTCATCAATCTGTAAAGTTGCCGTGGCGGAATCATCTTCATCTTTGGAAAGTCAAATGGCCGGCTTGACTTATTTGGTTAAGGATTTCCTCTTAAATCCTAGAACCCAAGAGGTCAAGGTCTGCGGCATATGCACACAGCAGGGGCATCCAACCGATTCTTGCCCAACTCTCCAAGAAGAACAAGTCAATGCCTTGGGTTTTCAATCTCATCAACAAAAGAGGTACGATCCCCACTCTAACACTTACAACCCCGGGTGGAGAGATCGCCCGAATTTGAGATATGGGAACCCTCAACCACAACAAAATCAGCCCTTTCAACAATCCTTCCCAAATCACCAAGGTCAAACCTCAAGCTTAACTATGTCCACCGAAGACAAGGTCCGAGCACTTGCTACAAATATGTCAACGATGCAACAAAGTGTGGCTCAATTCCAAGAAACAACGAAATCCAGCATTCAAAACTTGGAAAATCAAATGAGCCAAACCTCAATTGCGGTGAGCCGCCTTGAGGCAAAAGACTCGGGTAAACTCCCATCTCAAACGGAGCAAAACCCGAGACAACATGTTAATGCAATAATGTTGAGGGATGGGACAACATTGAAAGAGGTGCATGAGGAAGAAAAGCAAGCTAAAGATGGGGTTAATTCCGTAGAAGATTTTCAACCGGATAAGGAGGAACCAACAAAAGCTAAATTCCCTCCACTTTCATCATATGAACCACTTCCTCCATTCCCCGAAGCACTGAAGGACACAAGAAAGCTGAAGAATGATCGGGACCTCTACGAGACCTTCGCCGATTCTGAGGTAAACATCCCACTCTTTAAACTGAGCAAAAGTGTTCCCCATTATGCAAAGTTCTTAAAAGAACTATGCACAATGAAAAAGAAAAATAAACTGGAAGGGAAACAAAAAGTTGAGGTTAGTGAACGTGTCTCGGCCATTTTTCAAAAGAAACTTCCCAAAAAATGTAGCGACCCGGGCATGTTCACCATTCCTTGCAAAATAGGGGACACCAATTTTTCTAAGGCCTTGTTGGATTTAGGAGCATCAATAAATGTCATTCCTTATTCCTTGTATAAATCCTTACAACTCGGCCCACTACATCAAACTGGTGTAGTGATTCAACTAGCGGATCGATCTAATACTTACCCGAAGGGTGTAATAGAAGATGTGCTAGTAGAAGTAGAAAATTTGATTTTCCCTGTTGATTTTTATGTTCTGGAAATGGGAGATGATAACCAAACAACGCCCATTCTTTTGGGAAGACCTTTCTTGAAAACCGCTAAAACAAAAATTGATGTGTCTAGTGGTTCATTAACAATAGAATTTGATGATCAAAAAGTAGAATTCAACATCTTTGATTCTACTGAAAAACAAATTAAAGATCAATCTCTTTGTTCTTTAAATGTTTTTGAGCCACCACCAACACTAAATATTTTTGTTGGAGAGGAAACAAAAAAATTCTCAATTTTTAATGAAATAAAAATTGAGCCAAAAAAATCTATTTTGAAAGGAGAACTTAAAAAGTCACCTCAGCGCGAGTTAAAACCATCGACACTTGAGGTGATGACAAAGAAGAAAATTCGGCCTTACTGGAAACGGCCGAGGAAGAAAAATGAAACAAGGGATGCTCACGATCCCACTTAAAAACAGAAAATAAAATAAAAATAACGTTGTGCCGCGACATTAAATCAAGTGCTTCTTGGGAGGCAACCCAATTTTTGCATTCTGTTTATTGTTATTTTATTTAAAGTGTGGGAAAATTTCTAAAAAAAAAATGGAAACTGGGCTGAAACCCGGCCGGGTATCATAGCCACCCGGTCGGGTTCCTTGCACAAAAAAAGAATACCCGGGCAACAAACCCAGCCGGGTAAAAAAAAAGCTGGAAAATTGAAAAAAGCATAAAACCCGACCTGGTACTCCTAAAACCCGACCGGGTTTTCGGCTAAAAAGCCCCTGCTACCGTCTGTTTTGAAAACCCACCCGGGTAAAAATAATACCCGGCCGGGTTTACGGGATTTCCCCAAAAACAAAAGCCCGAATCAACCAAAAATTCAACCTATCTTCCTCCCTGAGCTCGAGCTTCCCACCCCAAACCTCCATAGCCACACTCCAAAAGCTTCAATACACCTTCCATACTCTACCAAAAACCAAAACAAACACCATATTCTTCCTTCCCACATCATCCCCTCCATTTCTACACCCACCATATCACCCAAACCCCCAAAATCCC